TCGTCTTCTAAAACTACATCCCAAAAGAACTCATATTTGGATATCGCCGTAAGAATCGGTGCACCATTCGAGCAAATAATAACTAATCCATTGAAACCAGTGTTAATCGGAACAAGTAATGTCTGCTGATGACAGCGGGGAGGGTAGGACATTCCAAGCTAAAGCTGCAATCATTTCCTAAAAACTCACGATACCATGACTTTTATAATCAATTTATGACAATTATTGTTTATAGCACTCCTTAGTGATGATATCATTTGGGTGGAACAGACTTTACGCCATCACACCCAGTTGACTCCTTCAAATGGAGCCATTAAGGCTATTCAGCCTTATCGTCCATGTTATAAGTTCACATATTCTGTACAGAGGTTATTTAAGCTTTGGATATTGAAGCCCATCCACTGTTCATCGCTCGTAAGGATTTAGCCGCTCCTATCCTTCGAAATAAACATAAAAAGTAAAGTTTCTCGCAAATTTCATTTTTTGGCACACAACTACATCTATTCAAGGCTCTAAGAAACTATGTTGTACCCGCTGTAATGGCTCAATTTATGCAGTTGTGTATAGCTTATAGATATAGCTTTCAAATGAAGAAGTCACAATTTTATTCTACTCCCTACAGTACAAATTACAATCTTTGTTACCGCGCGGAACCCAGCTAATTTGCACTCCCACGTGGCCGTTCATTCGTCTGTAAGCAGGCGGCAGTGGTGACAGCTGCAGGAATTGAAAATGACAATCTATCTTAGATTTCGGAATTGATAGGTCATGCTGTCAATAAGTAAAACTATATCAAAGTCTTCCTGATGAAATAAGGAACGCGTGCTATGTAGCGTGCCGTACAGCTGTGAGAGGCAATCCTCAATAAATCTAAGGTGCCATTCAATGCTGCGCTTATTCTATTAGCTTTTTTACAGTTTTCCTAAATTTCTTAAAGTTTGTTTGTTTAGAAATGATCAGATATGTGTCAGAGTCATTTTGGAATAAACATTTTCAATCACGTTAATATATTTAAGAGGAAAATTTTGACAAAACAAGTTTTTAAATTTTTTAAAAATAATTTTCATTAACAATTGCTTCGCAACATTTTCTTTGCAATTATTATTATTATCGTTATTATTATTACTATTATTACTATTATTATGATTGTTTTACATGCTCTCCGAGTAGCATTAAGAAGTGAATCGCTTTTATCAAAGTTGCATTGTTATGATTTTAATTCATTTTTTTTTTTTTTTTGCACATAAATTTATTAAATAAATTGGAAGATAACAATAATCAAATTTTTTGTTCCTTTACACATAATATACACATATATATAAATTTTTGCTTTTTTTTTTAATGTTGGTTTAGAAAAAATAAACAAAAAGTAAGAAATATGTAAAAAAAAAAACCATGAAAATTCCATTTCACTTTATATATATATATATATATATATATGTTTATATATACTTATATGTACACATATCATATCTTTTTTTTACGTTTATGTGGCTAATATAATTTGCTATTTTTTTTTTTTTTTTTCTTTTTTGCGGAGATTTTTGTCGTTTTTTGATTAAATCAATTCTTGTGTGTTTTTTTTTATTTTTTTATTCATTTAATTTTTTTTGTTTTTGTCATTCAAATAAATTACCTTAACATCTTCGTATATAAACATGACAATAACTTGGAATTATCTACTTGCTATGTCATATTTATTTTACAAAATGTGCTTTGATTTAAACTTTAATTTTTTTTTTCTGTATTGATTTAAATCATTTTCTACAAATTGTTGTTGATGTTTCTTTTTGATTTTTTTTTTGCTTTAATGGAAACAAAATATTTATACATGTCCTACATTTCCGGCAAGGGATGTTTGACATTAGTGATATAGGTCCCTCTGCTGATTCCCGTAAACCTGACTTGTATTAAAAGAATCAGAGAAATACCACGAGCTGTTTCTTTCTTCTTTTGCCCCTTATAAGGATGTCAGAGATAAGAAAACATTTCTGCATTTCTGTAGGCTATATACGCTCTAAAGTAATTCAATGTGACAATATCTAGTAAACTTCTGTCTTTGTTTTTTTTTTTTTTTTTAGCTTTACTAAATGACTTGAAAATGATTGCATGAGTTAAGCAAATTAGACCCAAAGCAAAACGCCAGCTAACTGCAAAGTCAATTTAAAATTATTCTCTGGTAATCTCTTTATCAGTTTTATACGAATAGTCTTGAGAGCTGATTTAGGGCAACATGTATTAACATTGTATTTTCGCGAAAAAGTCTTGACCTATTTAACCAAATGGACAAAGCTGGTTCAGTTTTGAGATATCACCATATCTACGCTGTGGGTTTCTCGCTTGATAATTTAGAGTAAGATTAAAGAAAAACATAGTTTAAAAAAATTGTCTAGACCATCCTCCTAAGCGATATTTATATCAGCACGTAATGAACAGTGAAACAGAATAAAGGCAAAAAAAGGAGTTAAAAGAAAAGAAGGACTTGTCTTCTTGAAGGCTGTTTTTTGGTTATTATAAGCAGTATATGTTAAATGTTTCTAAAATTCGGAAAGTTTTTGTCTTTCAGAATGATTACATACTCAGGTGAGGGATCGATCCTCTATACACGTGACACGGTGTCAATCAAAAGGAAATAACGCAAGAGAAAGGGATTGAAAGGCTTGCGATTTGGGGTGTGTGCGCCAAACCGCTGAATGTTCTTTATACCTTTATCGACTAATTACTCACTTCAACGACGATCAAAGTGTGCTCTGAGTTAGTAATCGCGATTCCTATCTACTCGGTTACTCAGAAAAAGTAAAAATGTAGTTGGTCTCATATACGTAATCAATGTGAATAGAGGATTGCAGTTCAGCTAAATCTGCATGACCGTCCACTATTGCGATCTCGAACATGATTCGTTTGAAAAATGTAGCTTCACTCTCCGTAGGGTAACTTCAAAAACCCAAATCACTCATTCATTGATATATTGCTTTATTTTATTCTTTTTTAATCCATAATCCCAAAATTGTAATTTTAGCTGTAAGTTGAACTCTACATTTTTCCTTGACATGTTTTCTATCATAGATGGAAAAATCAGCTAATATTTCCTAAATCAAATCTACGTTGCATAAGTTCGAAAGTCCGCAGAACACTTGGAACACTTGTAAATATTGTAGTGCGGTTCAGACAGTTAGCTATAAGCTGCAAATCAAACAATATCAAAATGCAATAAGATCGATATCATACGGTATATGGCGTCTTCTCATCGAATGTTCCGAAAGAAATGTTAAGCACAATCCTGCCAAGCCGATAGAAGTGTTCATTTTTGTGGTAGGTGGGCTCGCGGTTTGGAAAAAAAATAAAAAATTACTTGAAAATCAAGCCTTAAAAGGTATTCTCGCGAAATAATTGTTTTCGAACTTGTCGTACCGTCGTCAGCTTTGAAATATGAGTTGTCGTTTCAAACTAAGATTCCGCCCTAACATTTGTCGATAATGCGTCTTCAAAATAGAAGAAATTTTCTTTTCGCAAAATACCCCTCAGTTAATGCTCAGTAGCTTTTAAGCCAGCTTGGTCGCCGAAATAGGGACTTTGTAGCGTGAAAGTGATCACTTTCGTAGTTGAAAAGAAAAAAGGGAAAAAATCGTCTGTGCTTTATAATTTGTACTGTTATATGCAAAAATCCGAATATATATATGTTCTTCAGTGACCATAATGTGATATTACTCTTCAGCCCCTTGCAGTCCCACTTTTGTTTTTTTGAATCTCCCAATAATTCCTTAATTAATTTGGTAAAAACGGCATCAAAAATGGTCGCAGTGGCTCCGATAATGGTGGATATGAAATGGCATAGAAAGAAAGACATTTTTCGATTTATTCATGACTTAAGGTGAAGTATTACACATTTGAAGATGTAGTGGTGTACACAAGCTGTGCTTATGTAACGTAATAACAGAGATATCGAGCTTAAGTTAAGTTAAAGAACTAACTAGACAGCAAAAAAAAAAAAAAAAAAAAAAACTTTTTTTCTAAAACCTTTTGTTTGCTAATACCATAGTATGCGTGTCAACGCATTCTCGTTTATATTTCAAAATTGAAATCGACCGACCGAATAAAGAAGAAAACTATTTGTTTAGGTCAATTTTGAGATGGAAAAGCACTACGGTGTTAAAGGGTGTTAATATTTTGTCGCACCCTTCTTACGCTTATTGCAGTAAATTCTTTTTTCTTCGCTTCACATTTTCAATAAATCATTTGCATGCATTTATCGACATACACTATACTGTATACATGATCAGTAAGGGTGCACTACACTATCTGATAATTTGTTCTTATATTTGCATAATATGTATAGAGTTTATATATATATATATATATACATATACAATATATATATATATATATATATATATATATATATATTGTGTGTATATATATATATATTGTTCTTTAATTTAATAAAAACATTATTCAACATTGCGCTGCTAAAGTATTTTTTTGAAATTAAACAAAAAAAAAAAAAAACAAATTAATACAACAATATAAAAAAAAATAAGATAAGAAACAATCTAAAAAAAAAGTTCCTTTCTTTCTTCTTAAAAAGGAAATCTCTTACGATTTTCGTCTGCAGTATTGTTAGCTTTTAAATATACATAAACATACATACGTGCATACTTATATACGAACATATATTGCATATATACGAACTAAGATATATATTATACACCTGTATGTATATATATAATTTGTACGTATTTATGTATGTATATTTATAAAGACGTTATTTTGTTCGTGTTTTATTTAAATAACTTATTAAAATTTTTATATATATATATTTATTTTTAGTTTTTGTTTTTTTACTTTTTAATATTATCATCATTATCATTATTATTATTATTATTATTGTTATATATTTTGCATTATCATTTATAAAATTAAATTATATATATATAATAAATTATATATATATATATATATATATACATATATATTGAGTTATATATATATATATATATATATATATATATAAGGGTTGATTGAGTGTATTTATGTATAATATAATTAAATTTTAATTAAACGCTAGTTAGTTACAAAATACAGCAAGTCGTTGAACAGCATCTACTAGAACCACCTTTACTTTTTTGTCTCTGGTCTACAAAAAGAAACGCAAAAACGTTAAAAAATAAATAAATAAATAAATTAATAAAAGTGCAAAGAAATTGCTGTAATTGGCTAAAGCCATGTCCACCATTCCCAGCAAATATGTTAAAAGTTAAAATAAGACACCTTAATGCAAAGTCTCATCGAAATTATTCCAAGTCCATTTTAAGCTTCTACATGTTTTCAATAAATAAAGTTTAGATCCATCGAAGATTGATTGTTATAAGGCATAGCCCATCCGCTAAGGATGGATATCGGTTATGTTAGAAAATTTTTTCTTTGCCTTCCTTCTGCTTCATTTTGAAGCTTGTTGTTGCACTCATTACTGATCATCGCTAAGCGTTATGTCCTTGCCGACTGAGCACTCACAATAACTATGACCAAGCATGGTTGAACCGCACTGAGATTTGAATCCGCGAATTTAGCAGTCGTCACTCTGATCTATTCAGCTATGTTGCGAGCGGTTTACCTGTCTGTTTGTTTGTCATCCTATATTGGGACGGTCACACAACTTGAATTACAAAATTCGAAACCCGTGAAGGATCCTTCAAAAGGAGAAAATAATGTAATGGACTTTGCTATAAACGTTTTTTTTTTTTTTTATGCATACCCTACATCACTTGTGACGCATGGGTGTATTCAACATGAGCGTTTATGTGCAACACCCACAAGGTGTTAAAGTAGACCCACCTTTTATTATTTCGACCGATTCAAAGTCGCTTTCTAAGATTGTCTACCCATCCACCCGTCCGTGTGTTTGTTGTTTCTTTGTGTTTAAGCCACCGGTCGTAATTTTTGGACATATTTTGATCAAATTTGGTCCACGGACATGTTTTGGCCTACTTCTTCGATCACTTCCCATATGCAGCCTTATTTTGAAAAGTCGTGATATGAATAACCGTATGAAGCCAAGTGGTGTAGGGTATTTGGTGATGCATCGTGTCCCACTATATACGTGTTTGATTTTTAAAGTTCTGTAAGATTGTAAATGTGAGCCGCGCTTAAAGCAAGTGAATTTGAATTTTGAATTTTTTCCCAAATTGTTCCTAGCGAAACATCACAATTTCCAAATTATATATATCTAGGATTAAGTTCATTATTTATGTATATCAGAGTTTAATCACTAATATTTTCATGATAAAATTTGATGATTTTTTATAAGTGACCAGAGGACAAACGGAATCGTTTCCTTTACATTTATTGTTATGGAAGATACAAGAAGAAAACTATTTCTCTTTTTCTTCTTCTTCTTCTTATATTTAGAATGGTGAACGGAATATAAGCAAAAAAATTATAATTAAATTTCTTTGTTCATTTCAATTAATCAATTTTTATTTACCTTGAGAATTGGGCTCTGGTAAATTATCACGCGGCACTAAATGCATAACAGTCGTCTTGCCCAAGGGTAATCCCAAAGCACCCAAGGTAACATTGCAATGTAAAAATCTGCCCTGATAGATGAGTCGCAGTATTTCGGCCTTGGAGACTGCTTCACGTTCCCAGTCTAAAAAAGGAGAGAGATAGAGACAAGAAAAGAAGAGTAAGTAATAGAGGAAATAAATACAGAATAAAATGTAGACAAAACAGGTTGAGACTGATTTTGTTCCAGATTAGTAATTCTTTCCCTTTTATTTCTTCGAAAATTTGTAATGTTTTAATGAACTCGTTTGATCAAAAAAAAAAAAAAAAAAAAAAAAAAAAAAAAAAAAAAAAAAAAAAATACTTGAAGAAAACACAAGAAGATATTAAAGTGGAATCTACAGAGGTCTTTGTAAAAATTTAAGAAAACCAATACATACGCAATTTGTGTGAGCGTGTGAGTTTATGTCAATAGTTTATTTAAATTTTACACAGTCCTGTTACAAATCGTTCTTCTAACAGTACATATAAAGCACACACTTCGTTAAAAGATTATTCATCATAATCATCATCATCATCATCATCATATTAACTAATGTGTGCAACAGAGCAATATGAAAATACAGAATCATAAAAAGAAAAAATCGTTATCTGCTACACAAAGCAATGTAAGGTAGTATAACATCAGCAAATATATATTTGACCACAACACAGAACTATTTAATATTCATTTGTCGTTTCCTAATGAAGGCGCTGCATTTGTCGCTCACCGATCCTGATTTATTTATAATAGACAAGTCGACCGAAAGATAGAGAGAGGGAGAGAGAGAGAGAGAGAGAGTGTGTGCATGTACTTGTGCGTGCATGGAGAAACTCAATTTCACAATAATAGAGTTTTAAACCCCCAGTAAATGTTACTACAAGCAGCACACAATAAGCAACAACAGCCAAGCAAAGGTTAACGTTGCGATTGTGTGCGTAATGGCGATGGTGGCTGGCGGTTACGGCGTTGCCAATAACATTTGTTTTGTCGGCCCATCTTCTCTTGCATACACACATTTGCATACATATAGAGCAGATGGTTGTTTACTTTACTTTCCATGCTGTTAAAATACATTCATACACTATCCAATGCATGCACGTTCATGTACACTCGCCATCTATACGGTTATATATATTCATAAGGAAATACATGAATACATACATTTTTGTTTAGAGAAAGTTACCGTTGCATAAACGTTATACATATGCTTGTTATATGCATGCGCTCGCTATATCCATGCGTGCTGTGTCGTTTATTCCTTTTTGATTTCCATAGAAGTTTTCCCATCATTACAACCACAATCTGCTGTGTGCACGAAGTTTAACTTTGATTTAAACAGAACAACTAAATTTATAGAGCATATCGTGTTTGTGTGCGAAGGCATCTCCCCTTTCCATATGTTTATCTGGAGCGCATTACTTTACTCCTGTCATCCACGTACTCTTACTTTCGGCTTAATTTGGCGAATAGTTTTTGATCCTTTTTTTTTTTTTTGATTAAATGGTTTTCTTGGTAATTATGCATTCATTTTAATTAAAAATATTCTTACATAGAAAAGAGCGAGTACTACGTTAAACGAATAAAAATTTTTGCATTGATAAAAAAGAACTCTGCTATGTTCTGGCAGCTCAAGGACAAATGATATTCAAATTTGACATATGCGTTACGTAAAGCGAAGTTATCAAACGTTCTACTGTCTTGTCGCCAGTACCCCTTTTTTTTTTGTTTTGTAAAGCCTTACTAGACTGTGCGCTTATTATTTGTTTTTATATTTTATGCCAGTTGTGGCGGATTGATATGTGAAGTTTGGTTGTATGGATGCGAGTAACATCCAGAAAAAGTCAAGATAAACCCATTTTTTACGAAATTGATTTTAGCTTATCTTGCTATTTTTTTACCTGCCTGCCTGCCTGCCTGTCTGTCTGTCTGTCTGTTCGCCTGTTTTATGCTGTCTACCAATTTTTGTGTTCACATCCACAGATTGCAACTTTTGAGATATTTTAGCGAAATTTACTACAATGACGTGTCTTGGCTATTGAATTCATATCAGGCGAAATGGTATTTAATGTCTGGCTGCGCCCGACAATAAATAATATTTCCAATGCATGTTTTTTAATCAGGAAAATAAGAGAAGTAAAAATGAAAAAACTTATGGTTTCAATGTCAAATGTAAGCTCCTTAACTGCCAAAAATTACTTATTTATTTATTTTTATATAGAGGTATTTTTTGCTCGAGATTATCGATCGATTTATTCTAAATTCCAAAGCAAGGGTTTTTAGATTCAGCTCAGCTTCAGGAAACTGATTAGGATTAATTCAATAAATGGCAGAGTCTCTGATTGTCTGACTGGCTGCTATTGCAAGCAGAAGAATAGGTTTACAAGTCATCAGAACCGTTATGGAAAGCAAAGAAAAAAATAACCCCACTTAATCCATTTTCAAGAGAACTCGTTTTTGGCATCTAACACACCTTAGTTTACACGAAATTTTAAGAAAATATCTCGAAAATTGCCAGTTGGAGCTTGAATGAACACAAAATCATATCGAGAGATACAATAGGGACAGAAACGGATGGGCATACTTGAAAAGATTCGGAAAATGATTCTTAATGGATTGCTTGAATGTGTTTTTTGCATACTTCCGGTTCATTCTGCACGTCCCCGCCAACTTAATATATAGAAATATTCGAAAATATTTATTGTAAGAATACCTTAAAGGGAATTATTGATTATCAGCTGCCAATGCGCCTTTGACTCTGTCCTCTGTTTATCATCATTTAATGAAATGTTTTGCACATATATACTCAAGTCTATGTGCGCAATAAACACAAAATTAAGGCAATGGCTAGCGGCGGAGATTTTCTTTCATTATTTGGGAAAGTGTTACTTTATGTGGAAGAGAAAGGTCGCATTTCCATACGCTTTATCCTCTTCGCCAATAGAGATGCCGCTGCCAGTAACTATTATTTGGATTATTGCTAGGGTTATTGGATGCAGGTTATCCGATCTTTCCCTTAGAAGCCTAAGCTTCCTAAGTAAAAATATATGTACATTGGTCTCTATTTTAACTTGCACTTGTTTTGCATTAACTATCAACACAGCTTCATTTGATTAGATCATTTTGCCTTAAAAATGTTGCTTTGCATTGAAATTCCTTTCCTTTCCACTCATAGGTCATATGTGTATATAATATTCGCAATAATTAAGTAATATGATAGAAACATTTTTTTATCTCTTCAAGCAATAATAATAATAATAAAAAAATAATTAATGTTTAATTTTAGTTATCACATACTAAACATAGACCGGTTGTGGTAAGGTTTTATCAAATTTGTACGTAATACTTAGAAGGACTTGAGATAGATCCGCTCTGTACTATATGAATCGAAACGGAATCATTTGCCAACTCCTTTTAAGCATATCTGTCCGTCTCTCGACCGATCACAGATACTTGCGCGAAAAGACGGGAGTAAATCAATTTCCCAGACCATTTCACATATTAAACCCTATTTATAATCTTCGATAAAAATTTGACGAATCGAAAAATATGTCAAATTTGGATGGAATACGACTATTTTTTGAATCGTCACGTCTCCAAAACGTTTTTCAAAGCTAAGTATCTCTTTATGAAACATAAACATGTTTGATTTCTATTCCATTCGTCTGTTTCACGTAAGGGTCCCTATAATTTTCGATACTCTCAAATCAGGACGATGAAGATAATTGAACAATTCTATTAAGTCATGTATTGTAGGGTCTTTAAGAGGCGGCTTTACCTGGGTACAATGTTTTCACTTGTTAAAAACTAAAATATCCAACTATGAAGAAAATTGAAATAAAATTCACGGTCTCGGTCAAGTATTATTATTAATTAAAACAGTGCAGTGCAGTTAAAGCTCTATCGTTAAATGTCAACACTTCTCAAATATTGACCGTTTTTTCTTTTTTTGATGTGTACATATATACAATATATAAAAAGCCTCCAAATCTTATTTATGTGTTAGTATTATTGCTATTCTATGCTCATTACATTACTGATAGAGATACAATGCACGGCACACGATACAACGATGTATGCCTAGAGTAGGAAGTGATTTTTTTTTATTTATTTTACAAATAATTTACAAACATAATCAATTTGGTCGAAAAAAAAGAAAAAAAAAAAAAAAAAGAAGAAGACAAAAACAATGATATTATCTGCAGTTGAGGTGAGGGTGAGTCCCTTGATTGCTATTATTTCAAGGTTCTCTTTCAAAAAGATGCGACAATATATTAAACATGTCATGCTATGTTTGCGTAAATGTTGCATGTAAAGTATTAACCAAACAAGAAAGGCAGCTCTACTCAGCCAATAAAAATATACTGGCAGAAATAAGCTTTAAGATAACGCACTCAAGACATAACATACATCGTACAGATATTCCACATAATGTAACACACAACTCCGATCTATGAAAATAGAACGAATTGTAAATTAAGTATAAACAAATCTACCCTAATACAATAAATGTATCAACCAATCTGTAGACTTAAAAAATGTAGGCAAGCCGTCATGGCAATATGAGACTCAAGTACCATTGTATTGAGACATTATCCTTATATAAGCCTTTCTACGGCTTAGTTTTCCTATAGTAATTGACGCAATTGACGCACTATTTGCCTCAATAATAGCTATATTGGTTCGGAACACCTTATAATATATTATATATATAGTTGATCGATAGCTTCGCTGTCAATAATGATAATTTCCCTGCTTATAATGCTGCACTTTATTTATTTTTTGTCTTTCTCACACCCGTCACATACAGTTCACTAGCATTCAAATCAAATTTTGAATTTGAAAAGGAGAGTTCGCCGAGTTAAAAACCCGAAGCGACTACACTTTTGTACACTTTTGCATTATATTGTGGTGCGTAAAGTCTGTCTGTTGGGAATGGTTCGTTACTAGTGGGTTGAGGTTGCTCTTCAATGTCATTGAAATTAATTTAAGCTTTCAAAATATTTTACGAAATCTTTAATAAGTAAATTAATGCACGATATATATTTAACGAATTTAATACCCCCCGCCCCCCGTCCCCTTTCAACTATTTTTTTTCTCATTCT